GCAAGGCTGCAAAGCTGTTTGAACTGCAAAGTCGGCGGTTCAAGCTCATCAGCTGCTCCTCGGAAACCCTAATACAGGGTCGCTATGGGTCGGAACCGACTCGACGGCATTTAACAACAACAGTTTCTCATACTAACAAATAAGAACACATACTCTTTGGGTGGCAAAGTCCATATTTGATCTAGAAGATAACAGATTGGTCAATAAGACCAATGTAGAAGGTGGTGTGATGTCATTTACTTATGCCTTGAAAGCTTTGATGGTTCTGTGGGAGAAGGCTTTCCTATATCACATTCTGCGACATTCAAGAATCATTACTTGTTTTTATGACATTTCCATAGGTTTTTTGATAAATTAATCAATTTTATACATTTAAAGGGGGGTAGACCAACAACCTGTGATACGCAGATGACCCGACCTTGAATGCTAGAAGCAAAGAGGACTTGAAATACTTACTGATGAAGATCAAAGACTACAGCCTTCAGTATGGAGTGCACCACAATGTAAAGAAAAGTCCTCACAACTAGACAAATAGCATCATGATAAATGGAGAAAAAAATTGAAGCTGTCGAAGACTTCATTTTGCTTAGATCCATAATCAATGATCATAGAAGCAGCAGTCAAGAAATCAACTGATGTAGTACATTGGGCAAATCTGCTATAAAGGACATCTTTGGAGTGTTGAAGAAGAAAGATGTTTGATGACTAGGGTGTGCCTGACCCAAGTCATAGTACCGTCAATTGCCTCATAAGCATTTGAAAGTTGCATAATGAATAAGGAAGCCCATAAAAAACTCTAAGCATTTGAACTATGATGGTGATGAATAAAATTCAAAGTACCATGGATTGCCAGAAACCGAACGACCATGTTTTGGAAACAGTAAAGTCAGAATGTTCCTTGGAAGAGAGGATGGTGAGATTTCGCTCATACTTTGTACACTGTTGTGAGGAGGGATGGTCCCTGGAGAAGAACATCATGCTTGGAAATGTGGAGAGACAGCAAGAAAGAGGAAAAGCCCCACCGTGACGGACTGACATAGTGGCAGCAACAGTAGGCTCAAACATAACGATTGTGAGGTTGGTGCAGGACTGCGCAGTGTTTCGTTCTGTTGTGTATACGGGCGCTAGGAGCTGGAACTGACATCAAACAACAACAACAGAAGCAACAGACCAACGTGACAGGTAATGTACTCCCAACAGTCTATTCAAATAACCAAGCGAACATCAAAACTTAACTATCTGAAGTTGTCTAAGTAAAACTATATCCAATTTGATTCTTCAAAGTATAACCACAAATGAAATTATGAAAGTATAATCACATCAAACCATAAACCATGAACTTTAGGCATCTCATAGAGAAATTGTTTGTCTTTCTTCCATCTTTTTTGAGAAATCAAAACCTAAGAGTTATGTGGGACACCGTGAGGAGGAACAATTTATAGGTGACTGAACTTTCAGAACAGGAAAAGACATTAAAAAGCACAAAACAAAATGTCCAGGAGTTGTTGGAAGAAAACGTCCCTAATATCATGAAAGATGAGAAGATAAGCATAAAAGAAGCTGAACGAACCCCAAACAGTAGATTCCAAAAGAAAATCACCAAGCCATATCATAACCAAACTTTCCAAAATCAAACACAAGAATCCTGAGAGCAGCTTGTGACAAACGAAAAATTACTTACAAAGAATAAGACTAAGCTTTGATTTCTCAGCAGAAACCATGCAGGCAAGAAGGCAATGGGATGACATACACAAAACCCTAAAAGAAAAAAACTGCCAGCCAAGAATCATATGAGGAAATTTCCTGATAAACAGAAATTAAAACAACTTGCAATGACCAGACCAACTTTATAAAACATGCTTAATGGTGTTCATGGACTAAGAACGGACAACAGCCTGAGATTATTCATGACAACACCACCCAGAACTCAATCCTAATACAGAAATGTTTAAAGTAAAAACAAGACTAAAAATAGGGAGCCAGAGATATCGATGTATGAAGTCAACTACAAAGCAAAAAGAGGGGATATATTGTAGATATAGAACTTCCAAATGTCAAGGAAGTCAAGTAGATTTCAAAATAAAAGACTGTTTTATAAAGCAGGGAAAAAATTAATAAATTACAGGGTAACCTCACAGAAAATACAGCTGCACATCAAAATAAAAGAGGAAAATCAGAAGGATTTAGAAAACATTAACACAAGAGAAATGAAAATGAAAAGAAAACCCACAAACTAACTCAGCATAAAAAATTATGTGGAACAATGAAACCAGCAGCCACACACACACACACACACACACACACACACACACACACAAAACCCTACAGAAATAAGACAGCAATGAATTCACGCTATTGGTAATTACACTGAATGTAATGCATTAATGGATTAAATGTTATCAGTCAAGAGATATAAAAAACAGAATCCTTCAACATGCTGTCTGTAAAAGTCTTATCAAAAAGATGGAGACAGCTTTCATGCCCATAACAGAAACAAACTGTAGTATGTACACACAATGGAGTACTACAAAACAATGAATAATGAATGATAAATCTGTAAAATACTTCACTACATGGGTGAACCTGAAGGATGTTATGCTGAGTGAAATTAGTCACTCACAAAAGGATAAATATTGTTGAGATCAATGTTGTACAAAGTTTTCTTGATAAACAATATCATGATTATGGGGTGTATTTATGGCTTGAGGGTAGACACATGTTAACATGGATGACAGGGCAGGCAATATTCAGCAAAAAGGAGGTTAGCAGAGGAAAGATAAAAGGAGGAAAGCAGTAGTTAAAGTGAATAGAGGTAAAGTCTGTTAACTGTACATGCAGGGGATTGCAACCATGTACCAAATCAACATATATGATTTGTTGAATGTAAAACTGACAGTCTGCTCTGTAAACCTTCACTCACTTCACAATAAAAAGTTGTGTGTGGGAGGGGGGAGATCTTTCAGAAAAGCCTTATTAAAAAAGATAGCCAAATGACATTCAACCCTGAACAAAAACTTACTTAACTTTCATGGTCACATCTAAACTCTCAACACCTGATGTGAAATCACTTCATGTGAACACAGGGATGCGCAAAACATTTTCTTTTAGGGAAGACTAGGGGAGTGCTGTACTGAAAATGGTGTGACTTCTTATACACGGTTATGGGAGGCTGCTTTGCAGCATAACTTCTGACTCCCTGATTCTGCCTGGCTCTCAGATTATACCCAGCAGGAAGATTCCATTTCCTCGAAGTTGATGACGGTTTAAAATTTATAACTCACATGCTAAAATGTTGATGTATCTATTTTTGTGCTTGTTATCTGGATGGTTGGAATGTTCTGCAGTGATGTTCATATCAGCTGTACAGCGCTGGACTTCCTAGAGAAGAAAACAAACAGCAAGAGTTTAGACACACTTTAGACATCTAACAAGAATGTCTTGGAAAGGCACAAAATATTTACTCTTCCCCTAGTCATAGGCACCACTGCATACCTCCCCACAACCAACTTCAGGAATAAGGACCAACATAATCATAACAAGTATATGAAGGATGTGAAAAAGGGATATGAATCCCATCCACTTATTAGTTCATCAGTCATCTACTTTCTTCTAGATTTTATACTAGACATGGTGATACAAAAGCATTAACTTTTTAAAACATTTCCTTTCGAAGTCACAGTCTGGGGGATGAGAAAAACATGCAAAAAGATACTGACAGTCAACTGTGATTAATAGGGAAAAAAAAAAGTCTTGAAGAAATTATGATGGAAACAGAGAGGAAGAAAGGAGGGCTTTAGACAAGAGGACAATAAGGCACATGACTACTGAAGAATCAACAGAACTTTCTAGGCAGAAGGGACAATATGTGCATAGCCCGGAAGCAGAAATATAATCACCATGCTTTGCAGAAAGCTTATAGGCCTTTGTTGTTGTTAAGTGCCGTTGAGTTGGTTCTGACCCATGGCGACCCTGTACAGGGTTTCCGAGACTGTAAAGTTTTATGGGAACAGAAAGCCTCATCTTTCTCCCGCGGAGCGGCTGGTAATTTCGAACTGCTGACCTTAAGGTTCGTAGCCCGATTCGTAACCACTACACTATCAGAGCTCCTTACTGCCTGCTTTATTACTGTAAGTCCTCAAACTTATTATATAGACTCAGTCCTCAAATGACACATTTATAGATCCAAATAATTATTCTAATATGGCACTGACAACTATTTGTAACCTCTAATTTTATTAAGGAGCTCTGGTAGCATAGTGCTACGAATTGGGCTGCTAGCCTCAGAGTCCGCAGTTTGAAACTACCAGCTGTTCGTTCCGCAGGAAAAAGATGAGGCTTTCTGCTCCTGGATTTACAGCATTGGAAACCCTGTGCAGGGTCACTATGAGTCAGAGCCAACTCCATGGTACTTAACAACAATTTTATTAATGACCCTTTTTTAGGAAAACAGCAGTGGAAGAGGTAGCACTCCTCAGCTACCTTTATCACAGGCATAAACATTATCCATTTTTCTATTACAAGGTTGCTGAAAAGCCAAATTTTTCTACACTGTAGGTTTTAAATTTTGAGAAAGCACAAGAGTTAACTAATAAGGGAAGTCATTAGCAGTGCACAGCTGCGTCAAAGAGCAGGAGCAAAGTGACACAAAATTATCAGGAGAAATGTTTTACACAGAACAGATGTAACAGAGTTTCAGAGCATGCAGACTTCTCACAAAGGAGTTGCATAGCAATTCCGGATGTTTTCTGCTGCATTTACATTAAACATATTGAAGACAAGGAATGGGTGGTCTTTTATATTCACAAAGTACTTCCCAGTGAGGAGTCCCTCTCTCTTCTAGGAAAAACTCACTGTAATCAAGCAATGTCACTAAGGTATAAAAACAAAGGGTTACTATCTGTTCAATGAAACCCTATTCAAAGGCTCCAATTTTTAGAAACTAGATTGGATTTTTAAATAATTGTAGGCCTTCCTGTTAGTCCATTAAAAAAAAAAAAAAAAAAAAACGGCCCATAGGCATGAATTCAACATTCCTTTCTAAGGCAAGTGTGTGTTTTATGAAACCCTTCCTACTCTTTTCTTCCTTTTACAAGATGTGATAAACTCTGATATTTTCCATTCTATTCTAAAATGGGTTATAACCTACAATTGGATAAACACTGCTTCAGAGGGCCTCCAGGCCGTTTTGGGCTTTTTTTTTCTCTCTAAAATGAGATAAAGTGTGGGCACAAAATAGTTAAGTCTGATAGTCTAACATCTATAAAAACATAAGCAGAGCTAGTCAGGCTCAGGATATTTGAGGGATTGCTCAAAAGTTCAAGTTAAACTTTATGGAATCATTTCAAGGGCAGAAAACCTTTGAAAATAGATTAGTATTCTAAAAGACATTAATCCAATCTATACACAAGTCCTTGAATCAAGTTCACAACCTTTTGTTTCTGGATTTTGGAGGTCAGACCTTTGACACGTACCTTTACAGAGATGTTGCTCAGATATCTTCCGTGAAGAGAGTTTAGCACCATGACTTTAATTTCAGTTATGCTTTGTTTATACACGTTTCCCCTGTTGTGTGTTATCTGACCATTCTAGCTATGGGCCAGGTTGGCCTGCTATTATAGCATAATGTAATTGACAAACGCTGCTTGGGAGCAACTGTCTGCACTGCTTAAAGCTGTCATTCAATAGGGCCGATCAAACTCGTTGTTATTGAAAACCCTTGCCTCTATTTCACTTTTCCAATTATGTGAACAACAGAAAACAAAGAATTGCCATAAATAATGTTAAATCTGACTTTATTAGAACCCAAGGGGCATGCCAAAGGCCATCTGATTTTGTCTTCTGGATAATAACGTCATCTGTAATTCCTTGCAGTGCTGGTTGGCTAATTTAGATGCTGATAGTATTATCTGATCCTGGAGTGCCTTTTCTCCATCAGAACTGGCATTTTAAAGTTAATGTGATTTTAATACGTGTTAAACCCCTTTAAAGAGACACTGGCTTATGGAGTGTGTACAGTAAGGTTACCTATTCAGCACTCTGATAAATAGTTTAAGGGATGTGTTTATATTTTAATGTCTTTATAGCAAAGTTAAGAGTCCTGGTGTGGCACTGTGGGTTAATGCGCCAGACTGCAAAGCCATTTGAACTGCAAGGTCAGCGGTTCAAGCTCACCAGCTGCTCCTCAAAAACCCTATACAGGGTCAGTATGGGTCGGAACCGACTTGACAGCACTTCACAACAATAACAAATAACAAAGTTGGGATTCTGAAAATGGATATTCAGACTACTAACAAGCATACAGTCACAGAAGATGGGACTGACTAAAAATAGGTTTAAGATAAAATGAAAGTTCAAAACACAAAAACACAAAAAACTGGTTGGTAAGAATTCTTAGTTGTTATGTTGTTAAGTGCCATCGAGTCGGTTCCGACCCATAGCGACCCTGTACAGGGTTTCTGAGGGTGTAAATCTTTACGGGAGTAGAAAGCCTCATCTTTCTCCTGCGGAGCGGCTGGTAGTTTCGAACCGCTGACCTTAAGGTTCGCAGCCTGATTCGTAACCACTACGCTACCAGATGGCTAGAAATAGGCTAAATAACCATGTGCCTGGATTCATTTATGTAACACTGTGAGAAGTTCTGTCATACTGTGGTTCAACTAGAAAATAACTGAACCGAATCTGTCCAGAAACCTTTCTGATTATGCAGCATCACAGAGCAAACAGAGAACGTATTTTGGACCTGGTGACCTATTGTTAGTCTGCATGCAGACAGTGGCTTGTCCTGGTGGAAGATGGATGGGTCCAGGTCCTGACCGCAGCCAGCACCTGCATGGTACTGGACACAGAGCTGGGTCAGCTGCCTCTGCTCTCTTCTGTTCAGGTAACAAACTTCGGACAGACTGATTTTCTTCAACTGTTACTTTGCTTTTGTTATATCTGCCCTTAGAAACCTCTGCACGGATTCCAAATTCTGTACTCAGGTTTAGAGGGTGCCATCCATCTTCCATCAACTCTTTTTCTTAATGCCAGACAGTTCTGACCCTTGGAAAAAACCGCAGGAGTTCCTGCTCTTTGCTTGCTGCCATTTCCCTTACTAAGAAAGCCTCTCCTTCTCTTCCTTCATCAGAATTCACACATCTTCACCTGCATTTCCTTGCTAGAAGAAAGCCAACCCATCCTAGGGACTACAATACAGTGCCTTGCAAACTATAACTGGTCGATAGCATAGTATTATTTCCTTTGTACAGTTTGTGAAATCTGGCTTACTGCCTTCTTTCCTTACATTTCCTGAAGCTTTTGCCTTAACCAACTAGCTTCTTTACCGTAAGGATTTTCCAATGCTTTCCTTCATAATACCTAAGATCCCGAATGGCATTTAGTCACAGAAGCTCAGGAAGCTCTGTGGGTCCCCTTGTGCAATCTCGCAGGCAGCAGCCCTTAGGCAGTTTGGTACCTCTGTCCACAGACTATCCTTCATACATCACTGGGACTTGCCACTTATCATAAAGCCATTGTGGCCATCGGTCCCTTGGCGGCGTGGGCTCAGGTGGACAAAGCTTTGTTCTGGTGATTTAAGACGAACAAGCAGCCTACATTTAGCTCAGCTGAAGTTAATTGTAACAGAGCCGATTCCCCAAGGATCTTGTCAAGGACCCCTGGCCTCATCTCTGCACTCAGCCTTTAAACTTCTGATTCTCCAGGTCCCTGCCTATTAATCCTGTCACCTCGCTGAGACAGGGAACTATCTCTCTTTGAAAGAGTTTGCTAGTGTTGTGTCTTTGGAAGCCTCTCAGATTATGGCTGCAGAGACCAGGGAAGTGGCTGTGAATCTTTTACACTCCTCTGGAAAAGCACTCCCTGGGAAGGAGAGTGAGGTGGACATCACCACAGGCAGCAGAGGAACAGAGTCAGAGACACTGTCCTGAGACAAGGCTTGATGTTAACAGGAGGCTTCACAAAGTTTGAGGAAAAATGGAATAAAAGATAATGGAATTTTTCCACAGCATTTTTGAAGACCCCTCATATTTCCAGTGATGGCAAGATGCACTAGAGGTTATGATGTACCTGGCATTTAAGAGTCTCCAGAGATTATCTGAAAAGGACAAAAAGCTTGCTTTCAGCTCCATCTCTAGATAAAGATTCAAAGTTACCAGTAAGTCACTGTTCTTATTCCCCTCAATCAGCAGAGCTTTGACAAGTATGACAGCTATTCACCAAATACTTCCTTACCTCTGTCCAAGATTTAAAAACAAGACGTGACAAGTAGAACCTTTGCTGGTCACCTCTCTCCTATGCTCTTCTCCAATGCTTCATGTCTGCACTGTAGCATTTACCTTGTTCTCTTCTGTTTCCACTCTAGTTGTATGCAAGCTACTATCTCCACTAGACTGACCTTGATGAGGGTAAGCAGCCCAGAGAATGGCAAAAGTCAGCAACTCTAGATGAATTGCTTAATGTATGTGCAATGGCCAAATACCAACTGTTAAGTGCTATTTCTCTATAATCCAAAGAGTATTTCTTTAACCAACTTTCAGCTCTTACTTAGCTGTTTCTTGTAAGATTTTCACCAATCTGCAAAGGATCTACACTATAAAATCATGGAATGAGCACTCAGTACTCTTCTACGTTGTTGCTGTTAAGTGCCATCAAGTCAGTTCTGAGGAGTGGCTGGTGAGTTTGATCTACTGATTTAATGAGTCAAACCAATCCTGTGGTCCAGTGTATTATCCTGCAGTATTCTGTTGTTGTTGTTGTTGTTGTTAAGTGCCTTCGAGTCAGAGCTGACCCATAGCGACCCTGTACAGGGTTTCCGAGGGTGTAAATCCTTACGGGAGTAGAAAGCCTCATCTTTCTCCCGCGGAGCGGCTGGTAGTTTCGAACCACTGACCTTAAGGTTCGCAGCCCGATTCGTAACCACTACGCTACCAGAGCAGTATTCTGTTGGGGCTACTTATTTTGTCTCCCTCCTCTCTCTCTCTCTCTTTTTTTTTTTTAAATGTTAAGACAACTACTGGCCTATGATCTGTACAATGCATTTTTAGATGTCATTGGTAATATTGGTTATTTCTCCTTCACAAGTGAGCTTATTACAAGAGTGTCTGGGTAACATTAAGGTTAGAAATGTGAGCTTGAGTCAGACAGTCTCGTGATCTTAAGCCCTACTGCTGCCATTTAAAAATGGAGTCACCCAATGTCTCCATTGTCTTACGGGGAAATGGGAACAATTTAACAATGTCCACCACATTGGGTGGTGGAGAGGAACAAGTGATGTATTCCAAGCACCAAAGCCAACCTGTCGCCACCCAGTTAATTCTAGTCAGTTTGCAGAGGAGAGCTGCTTCATGAGGTTGTCATAGCTCTGGCCTTTCAGAAGCAGATTCGCCAAACCTTTCTTCAGAGGAACCCTTAGGTGGGTTTGAACTGCCAATCCTTTCAATTGGCAATGCTTAACTGTGCCACCAGGGACTCCTAATAACCCATGCACATGCTCAGTCACTGCTGCCCGTCACCAGACCACATAAACACATCTGGAACTCAAGGCTGAGGCTACCACTCTCTGAAAGGAATGAAGGCTTTTACAAAATAAAATTACACCAAACGTCTTTTCTGTACTTCTCTCCCATACAGTCTGTTAATAGCTCATGGTTCTAGAACAACAGCATGTACCCTGCCTTTTCTTATATAGCCTCTTACCAACTGTTCCTTTTAGCAGCACCACACCAAGAAGCAGATGCCCTGCTAGCATAGTGGATTATGAGTTAGGCTGCTAGCCACAAGGTCAGCAGTTTGAATCCACCAGCCACACCATGGGAGAAAGACGAGGCTTTCTGCTCCTGTCGAGAGATATGGCCTCGGAAACTCAATACCGGGTTCACTATGAGTTGGAACTGACCTGACAGTACACCAGGGCCACCACACTAAGAAGAAATGATACTATTACTTTTCAGATAACTTTGAATATCCTCAAATTAGAAGTATGTAGTACATGACTGAACTTTCCCCCATCATATTGCCTCATTTACGTTGTTGCCTTACTGTTGTTCTCAAGAGAAAGGTTATTTTTCTGATGTGGAATAGCTCCTTGCAAACCAGGAGCGAGTGTGACCTGGCAGCGGTAGAACAAAGGCCCCTTCCCTTGCCCCCACTGCTCTGCTCCTATCACACTACCAAACAACCAGCAATACGTATGCTACAAAGTCCAACCTCAAAGAAGAAAGCTTTTAGCCATAGTATTTTATTATTTTTAGGGTAGGCATAGGGTGCAGATGCCCACGATTTGTTAAGAGGCGTGATTTTGATGCAACAAAGCCCATTTTAAGTCAGCTTGAGTTTACAGAGGTGTAGCTTGATTATTTTGAATAATTAAATGGTGTCAAAACCAGCTGTGATGAATAGCACTGGGGTCTCAAATCATAAATAATTGAGAAACCGGAGTTGCATTTGATCATCCTGATCAAATTCTGCTCTCTAGAGGATAAATGTTTGTCCTGAATACCATCAACATTGTTAAATGCCTCAATATTACTGCTCAGTCATCCAGCTAACAGTCAATTGAACTAAATCACTTTAACACCACACACATTTGCTGTCCTCATGAATACAAAATGTTTAACTTAAACCATGTTCTTTGTAGTCGAATAGGCAACCTTTTTTGGTAAGCATCTGATAGCAGCATTAAATACTTGAAATGTGGTGTGTTTTTTTTTGTTCCATAAAACACAGGACTTTGCAGAATAAATCAGAGGGTCCCTTCTATCATGTTTGCTTTCATTCTACCCAAAACAAAACAATCACAAAAAAACTAAGAGAAACATTTCATTTAAAACGAGGTGTTAATATAATTGCCTTTATGGTAGCCTTTGGTGACTCCATATTTGCATAGAGATGGCAGCTTTTGATCTTACTATTATTTTTTTTTTGGGGGGGGGGTCATTGTTCATGCAAGATCACTGCACGTGCCAGCTGCATATCTCCTAAATGCCTCCCTGGACTACTTCATTTGATTCCCATAGTCAATTTCATGTAAAGAGGTAGGCAGGTTAGCATCATCATCATTTCCATTTTTAAGCAGTAATGAGACAGAGAAAGGAACCGACTTACCACAAAGCTAGAAGACAGCCGAGCTGCCATGAAAACTTGGCCTCCTCAGCACAACTCTTGCTGCCAGAGATGTGCCTTAGTTAAGCGCCTCAGTGAAGAAAAGGGCAGTCTGTTTAATAGCTCCTCATTGACACCCTGTCACTGCTGAACTGGCACAGAACCCAGAGTTGGCAGGGTAGTTAGTGCATGCCGCGCTCTACCTTGTTTCTGACACACCAGTTCTTAAAACCACAAGGCTGTGTTAACCCATGTCTTCTCTCCCAGAACTGATATCGTGAAAACAACAGGCAACCTGTGCATGGTGCTGAACAGTTAACCCGGCATTTGTTTGCGTACTCCCAACAACTTTGGAATATAGGTGGCATTAGCACTTTAAAAAAAAAAAAGAGGAAACAGGGGGGGTAGGGAAGGCAGTGAGATGAAGCAATTGGCCCAAGGAGTGCAAAGTTCATGATCGGTGGAATCAACATCCAAGTCCTCAGACGTCACATCTGCTGTGTCTACTCCACCATGTGCACCCCAGAAAAGATGTGGGATCAGGTCACTGCTCAGCATCACAACTTCGGTTCCCAGTTAGGCTGAAAATGAAAGATGGCACCCGAAAAGTGATCCCCACCAGTCTGACTCCTCTCTACCAGTAAGTATGTTCTTTCATAGAAGTGTGTGTTCAGGATAAGAACAAGAACCTAATTTCTATTAGGAATAGATGCCTGTTAAAATTATAAAGATAAAGGAAAAAAAAAAAAAAACCTCACCTTTTCACAGTTACTGCTTTCTTACTCTTGGAATAAATTCAGTTAAAGATTACAATCTCTGTAAAACAAGAGTTAGACAGTGGAAATGAATTTCCAGTTTTGAAACCTACCTCAAAATCCTCGGAGAACCCATGCTGGTTATTAGAATAGAGCTCCCCAATGTGTTTAACAAACTGTTTGACAGGAATAGCTTCCATGTCATCTGTGGGAAGAAGAAGATATTAAGAGTCACAAAGAATGCTACTCTAAAACAAAAGACATGAGCTGATGAGGGATTATTGAGAAAACATTTGCTTTTTGCAAAGGGGGATTACAGTTGAGTCACCTGAAATAGATGTTCTCAAGAAGAGCCCGGGGATGGCTTTCACACGAAGAGCTCATGGACTTCAAATGCCTACACCATACCAGCTGCCGCTGAGTTGATTCCAACACTCACTGACCCTATATAGGGGTTTTCAGACTTTCCTGAAAATCTTTATGGGAGCAGAAAGCCACATCTTTCTCCTGCAGAGAGGCTGGTGGGTTTGAAACACCAACCTTGTGGTTAGCAGCCCAATGCCTAACCCACAACGCCATCAAGGGTCCTTTTAATGCCTATGATGATGTTGTTTCTGTGTGCGGCCTAGTTGGTTCTGACTCATACTGACCCTGTATATAGGGTGTTCAAGAGCACTTGGTTGGTGGGTTTGATCTGCCAACCTAGCAGTTAGCAGTCCTGTGCTTAAACTATAGCGCCACACCAGGGCTCTTTAACACCTATTTGCTGTTGTTAAGTGTGTGTTGTTGAGACATTCTGATTCATAGTGACACTGTATAGGATTTCTGAGGAGCAGCTGGTGGGTTTGAACCACTGACCTTGTGGTTAGCAGTCCAGTGCTTATCCTACAGTACTGGTTAAATATAGTTATTTAAAAAAACCCCAAACGTGGAGGATCCCTCTATTTTTTATAGTCGAGGAAATTTACATCATTAAATTACCATATCATAGTCAACTAAAAATCTGAACTTGCCGAAGGTACCAAAGTTGTTTGCCAAGAAATCTTATAACAACCTATGATTTTTTCTTATTATTGATATTCCATGGGGTCCAGCTTGAACTAGGAGTGATTAATTTTTTCCCCCAATCTTTTAAGTCTTAGTGACCTTTCACACACAATTAGAGAGAGATACCATTGTACCAGATGACTTTGAGGACAATGCCATCTATATCTTTAAATGTTCACAATTTTAGTTCCAAACAGCTGTGTCTATCTAATGCCAAATAACCAGTTTGACTGAATTAACTGTATTTTTTTTTTACGTTAACAGACTAGGTATAGGATAGATTCAGGAAGACTCCACGTTCCAATTGATCAGAATGTGTCACTTTCATCTCAAAAGGGTGCGTTCAGTTTCTGAGCCCAAAGTAGATTTTGAGCTGATTTACCCAGGTCCAACTGGGATACTTGAGTATTGCTGCAAAACTGCCACGCCCAACTAAGAGGGGCTCCCCAGCCTCCTTCTTCCCTCGATCCCCACCCCCCCAAATATTTCCTTTTAAAAATACTCTGCTGAATTTGAGATAAACAACAGACATGACATTTACTTTATTCAGAGTGAAAGATCTTTGGCAAACGTACAAACATCTAAACTGCCACAGATGCTTTTCTTAGCAAAGGGTATGAAGATCTGTATGTGTAAATGAGGTCCTACTTTGGCAAGGATTTTATAGATCCAGGCCTGACAATCTGATTTCTCTTCATCTGGTGACAGTTAACATTGACTATGTCATTCCTTCTCTACTCTCTTCCGAGAGAGCAAAACTCTAGGATGGCTTTTTGCATCTATTGACATTTTCAAACTTGAATCATTCTTCAGGGGAAAATAGCATCTCTTTCTCCTTCATTTAAGGGAGGTGGCTTGTATGTTCATAATCTAACTTACTTAGCGTAGAAATGTTACTTTATCAAATAGGTGTTGCTCTGTATGCCCAAATTCTTCCTGTGTGAACAATTAAAGACCTAATCATTTTAATAGGCAGCCTTATGAAAAAATTGCCAAGTTATTTACAAATATTTCAGGATTGAAGATGTTCATGAATATGCAATCATTTTACGCACCCAAGAAATCTATAGCTCCCGTAATGATGTAACCATTAACAAAGTTAGCAGTGCCAAAACGTTTCCCCAGAATATTTAGCAGAATGCACAGTTCAAGGAAAATTTCCAAAATCATCACTTCACTCAAAATGTTGAGAAGTAAGCAAATTTTACAAGACTGATCCAATGGTAATGAAACGGTCTCCACTTAAAAGTTGAAAAGGGTCAGTACGTACAAAATCAGAGATTCTTAGGGAGATGAACCCAAAGATAAACTCATCTTTGGACCACAGAAAGTCCCACCAATATTCTAGTATGCAGACTGAGCAGATCTCACGGATATATATAGAAATGGAAGACAGAACACGCTTTTCAAGAGCAGGAGCGACAGAGCTAATAATAGAAGTTGAGGGCAACATCTATGTCATCAAGAGAGTTTAAGATTTTAGACTCCCAGTAAACTTAAGGTGTCATGATTAAGAACATGATGAATGCAATTCAAAAGAAGATAAATAATCCTCCCAAACAACAAGCCATCTCAAATCATTAAAAGAAATGCTTGTAGGTTTACAATTCATTTCCCCCCCTCCCCCTGCATTCTATTGTATCCCAGAGATTGGCCTGCCCAAATCCAGCAGAGCACAGTGTGATAATCATAGAAATACAGGATTCACTAGTCTCTCCAATTTGCTTTCTTATCCAAGGATGTCTAACCACACCTTCCTTCCCCAGCCCCGTGTTTCCAGGCACCTCCAATAATGTCGTCAAACTGCCAGACAGGCAGATGCATGCGAGCGTGCGCACGCACATGCACGCACACACACACACACACACACACACACACACACACACAGGGGTTCTGCACTGACCAGCCTTGGATCTCTGGATAACATGCTGTCCTTCAATTAAGATAAATGGAGCTAAGGGGTCATAAATCTTTGCTCCCTAAGCCTACAACTAATTATAAATCCTAATGGTTTTCCTCTTAAATAGTTTTTCTATTAAATTCTCTCAACATAAGCCAGATGAGTAATTAGAAAATTACTGTAACTAGCAGAAGGCCAAACAATTAGGACAGTACCATAGTCCTAACCTGTTGTGTTTTCATCTGGGAAGACCGTATACTGTAAGAAGAGAGCTAGCTGTCCACAAGAGATTATTTCCACTTGAACATCTGACTTACAGCAGCGATTGTTCAGGAAGAGTATCAGGTGCGCTAGCTGGGGATGATAAGCACTGTCTAAATACTTTCCATGGATTGCTGTTGCGGTCAGTTGCCATCGAGCTGGCTTTGACTCACAGCGACCCCATGCACAAGATAAAACACTGCCCAATCATGTGCCATCTTCCAATCACTGCTACGTTTGAGTCCGCTGTTGCAGCCACTGTACATTTTGAGTTCGTCTTCCAGCACTCTAACCGATACTATTCTGTTGTGCTCTGTAAGGTTTTCATTGGCTAAGTTTCAGAAGTAGAAGTAGCCAGACCTTCCTTCCCAGTCTCTCTTAGCGTGGAAGTTCTGCTGAAACCTGCCCACCAGGGGGAGAATGTTGGTATTTGAAATGCCTAGAGTGTAGCCGTCACCATCACAGAGGCATGTAGGCCACCACAGTACAAAAACCTGACTACTATGGATTTCACCTTCTTAACAACCCTAAGAGATAGGTCTTACTTTCATATCTAGCTTATAGTTGAGAAACAGGCCTGGAAGAGTAAACAGAAGGCTGGAGTATGGCAGAGGAAGCGAAGGAAGCTGGCTACAGACCAAGAGTACTCTGATGCTCAGAGAGAGAATAGCTGCTGTGTGGTCCAAGTCAATGGAGAACCACTGGAGGAAGAACCATTTACTCATTACCTAGGACTCAGCCAAACATTTGGGAGATGGTCTCCCTAAAAAGGAGGTGTGTTAGAAAGGCGATGAACTTAAGAAACTGTTTAATAATGGCAAAAGCGCCATGAAAGGGATGGATTTGAGGACTTAGGTGGTGGTGAGGACATAACGAAGAAAAGTGGGCTGGAATCAAAGTGAAGATGTTTTCACTACCTGAATGACTATGACACAGGGTAGTAGAAAGATTGTTTTGGTATTATGAAAACAGAATTATGATAGAGTCAGTCTAATGAGCTCATCTGTCAAGTCTTTACTGGTTGCCAGGGATTGTGCTAAATGCTTTTCATACATTTTCTCATTTATCTTTATAAGAACTAAGTGATGAATACAACTTTCTCGTCATGTGACACATATGGAAACTGAGGCAACCTGTCCAAACTTGTAGGGGACAGAGCTGACATATGAGCCCAAATCTACTGAAAACAGAACCTGGGCTCCTGGGCACTCGACAGACTATCTGTCTTCATCCTCAAAGTACAGTTTCCAGAAGAGCAGAAACGAGAGCAGTTAATGTCACACTGTAAAATTGTGTGAGCATACTTTCATGTATGGAATTTTTAGCCACTAAAGGTTTAAATTAGGAAAAAGTGAAACTTAATCACCCTATTATAACACATACGATAGACTCAGTTGATAATCAAAACTTCAAGAATGGGCTGTTGCCATTGTTGTTCAGCACCATAAAGTCAGTGCTGGCTCACAGTGACCCTGTATAGGATTTCCGAGACTGTCAATCTTTGAGGGAGCAGAATTCCTCTTCTTTCATCCACAAAATGGCGGTGGGCTCAAACCTTAGGTCTCGCAGTCAAATCAGTGCTTATCCTACAGAGTCAGCGCACTTCCTTTTATTGCTATTCAATAGTGAGGTTGGCCCAGGATTGGACATTGTTTCGTTCTGCTGTGCACAGGGTCGCTATGAGTCAGTTCTGACTTGATGGCACCTGACAACAACAACATTTCATACTAAGCTCCAAGATTTTAGCTTTTTGTAGTTGGATATGTGCTCTGCAAATAATAGGCCTTTTCTTTTGACCAGTGGTCCTTATGTACTACTTGTGATAAAGCTTAATACTAGACTCTGGTTTGTAGGTACCAAAGCAGAGCATTAGAAGACACTCAACAGAGGGTACTGGCTTCTGCTGAGAAGAAAGTACCAAAGCTGAAAGATTCTAAGGAGAAGAATAGAGCTGAATAATGTTGACCTCAGAGGTAATGACAGAGGGAACAAAGAAC